AGAATAAAACATCGTGTTGCCCAACCGTTTTCTGTAGTTCTGAGTCAGCTACGGTGCGCAATGTCCAACGTATTAAACTTAGTCTTATGAAACCAGCGATAGACCCAGGATCTTTGAGATCTGAATATTTGACATATACTATTGATTGTTATTTTACTTGAATATCCTCGATAAAGAGGAAATACTATGCAATAAATGAGACTAAGAAGCCTATACGGCGAGTAGGCGCTTTGTTTAAAATATTATTGTTCCTTTGAGTTCCGGGTGGGACATAGGGTTTCAAAAGTACATCTCCATTCTGTTCTGTTCTCTATAATCCTCCTCAACCAGCCCCGCGATTGCTCATAAGCTTTCATCCCCTCTTCATACAATCCCTTCCATGTCACCATCGGAACCCCAACTTGCCGTTCCCCACTCGGGTTCCACTTGAATAATGGCCTGCTGTGCGATGACACATGACGATCTTCTCAGCGTATGTCCGATCCATCTTCATTTTCTTCTGCATATTTGTTGAGCAAAAGGTTCTTGTTTGGTTATTTGCAAGAGTTCCCCTCTTCCTAATTCTTTCAAGACAAGGGCCCGGCAACGGATCTTTTATTAAGGAAATCAACAGATATTTATAGATTTTCATGTACATTATTATAGAATATTGTTATCAGACAAATACAGTCTTCTGGTTGGAAATTAAACTTGCATCTCTTGGTGACTGTTTCTTGAATGTCAGATCATCTCTCTGCTAATCGTATCCGCCTACTCAAAGTCTGCTGTGATTGGTCGTTGAGTCAGTCTTTGTTCTTGTCTTCACATGACAAATATTTGGGACATAAACATTAACGTAAATTACTTTCTACCAATTTGGCTAGCAGCCAGCTCTCACCACAATATGATCTTTGGATCGAGCGAAGGATTTTTGCCGAAATGAAGCTATAATTATTATTAATATTATTACTTTTATTGATCATATACTTCCGGAAGAATAAGCATACTGGGATAGTTATTCTATGTTACTGGGGAATGATATTATCAGAATAATCATGTATACTAACTAAAGTGGTTGCATTTCGTACGGACAAAAATGTCTAACAACGATGTCAAAGTAGTATTAAACCGCCAGTTCTCCATCTAGCTGGTCAAATTATACAATGCAACCATTGCAGCGTAATGCTAAAAATTACAACGTAAAATGAAACTGATTTAACAAACATACTAATGGAAATGTTAAGATCTTGAATAACGTAGATCGGAACAGCCTTTCATTCGGGATGAAATGAATTCATCTCACTTCACAAGGTTGTCATCACATACGTGTAAACTAAATAATAAAATACACAAGTAGTCTGTGTGACATAATTTCCAATGTAACAACAATTCACAGTGCACCATGAGATGGTGAGCCACCTAGTGGCATGGTGTCTGCATCGTAAATCTGACTGATAGAATTTTGTCCGCACCAACATTAGGAACTAGACGAATGACATTGACATTTACTACTGTCCAACCAAATCATCCCATACAATCCTACAAGAGATCAGTGGCCACCAGCCTGAATAGCTCACTGGTGACGTTTCTGACAGCAGCACTGTGTGACACAGGTTAGAATCTCAGGAGGGACATGAATTCCATCAAGATTACAGATACGTCTAGCTGACTGGTCAAAGTGCCGACGAGCATCAAACCTATGTCAGGCTGAGTTTCTTGACGATTGCCTCCAACCAGCTAATACTTTAACTGAGTAAAATGAAATGAAACATCCAAAAATGAATACTATGTTCAAATAATTAAAGGAAGCTAAAATAATAAAAAATAATTATAATCAAAATAAAGACATTTTTGTATTGTAAAGTAAAAGACTATCAGCTGAAAAGTCATCGCCTTATAGGTGATTTAGCCTCAACTGACACTACTATAGAAGAAATTGGATTTCAGAGCAACACATCATGATTTTCGAAAGTAGGGAATAGACAAAACATTTCATGTCTACTTTCAATTACTGAAGCTATTGTCAATAGCTTGTAAAGCTTGGTAAAGCTGAATTAAGTGTTTGGATAAAGACCAATACAAACTTAGGCGAAGTTAAACTTTCGACACCACTAACTACCAATCAGCGAATTATCCAATGAGATTCACGAACGCAGTTCAATGTTGTATAGCGCTTGATTCATTTCTGATGCGTGACCTTACAAGGCTACTGTTGTAGTTCGAGGAGGTTAGTGTTTTCCAGTATTTCCTGGATTTGAGTTGCTCCGGAAAGAGCGAATTTGTTTGTGTGGTGGTATCATTACTTTAAAAAGCTATACCAAATCAACTGATGGGTTTGTTCATCGTTGTGCTATATGCTTGAAGCCTTCTAACACTGGAGAGGGTAAGCTGATAATTTTAATACTTCGTAGGAACTTACTTTCGCTAGGTCGCATCTCTCCCTAACCCAGATTTTGTATATCTGCAACTAATGGGTGTTGAAACAGGCTGTGAGAGCAGCAGCTGCCGAGATGGAGATTAGCCATGTCTCAACAGTTCAGTGGTACAAGCATTGCAGAGACATCGCATCATAGAAAATGGAGAAAATCACTTGTTTGCTGGGTGGGGAAGACGTTATCGTGCATGTCGATGAGACAGTGCTGGTAAAAAAGAAATACAACCGTGGTCGCCAGCGAGCGAACAATATTTGGGTAATAGGTTTGTATGACACCTCCCTCCGAAAGGGATTCGTCGAAAGGATAGCAGATAGAAAAGCATTGACAGTCCCATGCTAAACTGGGAGATGTTTCTCTCACATGTTCGAGAGAGATATCCCATGTAACTATTTTATTCTCTATTTTGTGGTTTTTTTCTATAAATATACATTTCCAGTCATCATATATGCCTCTTTAATGTAATTGGTTCCTTCAAGGTCGTTTGCTGATTGGTGGTGTCTAAAGTTTAACTTTGCCCAAACTTAAAAATACGTAGTTCAATGAAGGCAGTCTTTTCGGCAAATTTATAATCAAGCTGTAGAATCAGACATATATTTATGTATATCTTTATTTTTTATTAAAATAATAATGTGCATTGGGATAAACTATTTGTGATTACAATCATAGTTAAGCATCAAGTGATAAAATCGGTAGTTTATAAAATGTTTCATGGAATGTATAAATCCTAAGAGTTAATATGACTACAAGGCAATTAAAACACGATGTAACGACATGAGAATTATAATAACATCGCAAAACACAGTTACGGTGAAATTAGTTCTCTTGCTTAAGACAACTATGAATGGAATTTCGTTGTCGTCTAATTCTTCTTTTCTTGTCAATTTAATGCCTTCAAATATGTTGTTTATTAATTCGTAGATATATTTTTATTCATTTCTTTTGATTATTACAAATGTATAATAATGTATAATGTATATAAAAACTTGGAGGACCTAGACTTCGCCGATGATATATGTCTGATTTCCCACAAAGTGGAAGATATGCAAGTGAAAAGCAACAAGTTGGCAGAAAAAGCATCAAAGATAGGACTTCAAGTGAACATAGATAAAACAGAGGTGATGAAGATTCCTGGCCAACACCGACAGCAGCAGCAACAACAGACAACAGTCAGCCAGCATAAATGGGAGGAACCTGAAAGAAACAACCTCCTTTACCTACCGATCTAGGAAGCATCGTTCCAACTGCAGGCGGAACTGACGAGGATATCAAAAGCCAGATTCGGAAAAGCAAGACAGGCTTTCATTACCCTTAAGTCTGTGTGGAAGTCAACAGCACTCAGCATTAAAAATAAGATCCGGATTTTCAACTCCAATGTGAAATCAGTGCTACTATACGGATCAGAGACTTGGCAAGTCATAAGGAGCATCTCAAACAAACTTCAGACCTTCATCAACAGTTGTCTTCGCTCAATACTCAATATTAGATGGCCAGAAAAGATCAGCAACAGGGATCTCTGGCAACGAGCGAACCACCCAGGAACCGATTGTGAAACAAATAGGCAGGAAGAAATGGAGTTAGATGGATTGGCCATACGCTGAGGAAACCATCAAGTGACATCACTAGACAAGCCCTCGAGTGGAACCCGAAAGGGAAGCGGCGAGTTGGTCGTCAATGCAAGGTTGACTTGGAGGAGGTCATGTGAAGAGGAGATGAAAGCATGTGGGCAGACTTGGAGCGGGGTGAAAAAGTTGGCAGAAAACTGAAGGCAATGGAGACGCGCGGCTGAAGCCCTATGTTCCTCTAGGAATTAAAGGATAAAATAATAATAATAGTATGCTGAGATTGTTTAACAACAACAAAACAAAGCGTACATTCTTCAGATAAACACCGTATTTTAAATTCAATAAAAAGGCTAGAGTATTCTTTGGAAACGTTTGTTTTTTAAAAAAAAAAACAAGAAAACTGTCAAGAGTGAAAACATGTACAGAAAGTAATTGACTAAATAAGTAGTTTACTTATCATAAATGTATACAAACATATAGACGATAGAATTTTGTTTTAAACAAAACAAACATAAAATTCAAGCTTATTACATAACAAAAGAAAATATCACACAAATAGATAAGAATATTTTATGAAAGACGTTGTCAATTCAAAAAGCCTTATCGTTATATGCATGCATGCACTTACTCTACAGTAAGTAAGTACTTAGTTATTATGCTTAATGCAATAATAAAAGATATTGATGAGAGAAAAGAAAAACAGAGGGAACAAAGGAATATTCAATAAGCACCCTCCCCCACCCCTGAGGAATGCAGAGGCAAAGATGGAGAAGACAATCAACCCACTGAATGTAACCATTGAATGCATACGAACACACATGTATAATAAATAAGCTAATGGAACTTAAAAATAAATCAATTAAAACTAACAATCATTGATTGAGTAGAAGAATATCAACAAAATAAAAGATCAACATACATTCTATTGTAGGAGAATTATAAATGTTGTGTTCACATTTCAGCAAGTTGCACACAGTACAGCGGTTAGACACATGGACATACAAAGACACTATCCGTCATTTGTTCACTTACCTTCGGGTAAGCATAGTCTACAGTTGATATTCAGCAGGCGTTTTTTCAATTTATTCTCAAAATCATCGCGATATTCATTGAATAACATGATATCACGTGATGTTTTCATCCAAAATTCATGAAAAGAATAAAAAGTATAACCTGTTTTGTTTTATTAAAGTGGAAACAAAAGACATAAGATTAGTAAACTGGTTAAATGTATATTCATATACACAGTGAAGTTATTAAATAAATGGTTGAAGGCAGTGGTCAACATAAAGAATAACGACCATGGAGTGCGAACGTCCTAATGGCCTTGAATACATGTCGTTCAGTACATTTCAGAATCAGCGGTTACTACAGCACCAGTATGAAGGTTGTATACGAATTGAGGTGCAATTCCCTTTTGGTCTCGTTTACTAAGTACTGTCTGGACAATAAGTTGATAGCATGTTATGGTCAAGGGTTGTGGTTAGGATTAGTGTGTTTTATTATTATCTGTACTTCTCTTGTATATAATATATGGGAACAGAGGGTTTCGTTGTTCATGTAGATACAGCCGTTTTGATGGCTGCGAAAACTGAAACCCTTCATTGTAATTGGGAAGTATTATTCAGATAAGTCAGGGTAAAAATACTATTAAGTGTATTTTTCCTCATAAATAAATGGCTTCTCGACGCATGATACACAACAGGTTCTGTAATCCAGAGAAGAGTATACCTTCAAGGTTAATAGCGCGTTCGCACTCCGTGGTCGCTATTCTTTAGGTTGGCCAAGGCAATCAACAGGAAGTCATGGACCTAGGTTTCGTGCTTGTTAACACTCTGACCAGTCAATGGAGCCGTATATATCTACAATCTTGAAGAAATTCATGTTCCTCCTGAGATTTCAACCCAGGTCAGCAAGCGTTGTAATCAAAGACGTTACCAATGAGCTATTCGGGCTCACGATCGACCTCCTGTAGGACTGTAATGGATACTTTGTTTTCGACACTAGCTAGTAACTAATGTTATTTTTGTAGTCCTTGATATTGATGCAGACTTAATTCTATCATTCAAGTTAGTGATATATATATATATATATATATATATATATATATATATATATATATGGTTATAAAAACAACATCAATTGTCACAGTAAGGATAGACCATATCTTGAAAAGACAGCTTCTGTACCAAAGAAAGCTATCTTTATTAACCTACCATTCAAGGGGGTTCAGATTATGCAATTGACAGTTCAAAGACTTCGGTCAGCCATCAAACGCCAATGTATGCCGCATCTCTTTTTCTCAGATGCCGAACATTTTCAATCCCTGTACCTACGACTAAAGGACGAAATTCTATGGACTCTACTTCAAACTGTATCTACAAGTTTACCTGCAGCTGCGGTGATACCTAAATAGGTAGAACCAACAGAATGTTCCAATGTTGTCGAAAAGAACATCTTTCAAAATGGTTCTTGAGACACATTGAAAATCCCAATGCAGTTCATCTAAATAAAAATCCATCATCATCATCCATTGCAAAGCACTTATTACTGTCAGGTCACAAAATCAGTATAATGACTGCTACACAATTATTCCACATAATTCCAATTCAAGGTTATTGAAGGTGATGGAAGTGTGGTGAGAGCTGGCTGCTAGCCAAAGTTAGTAGATAGTAATTTACGTCAATGTTTATGTCCCCAATATTGATAGTGAGAAAAGTGAGAACAAAGGCTTTGCGTAGGCGGATACAGTTAACATATAGATGATCTGACATTCAAGAAACAGCCACAAAGAGATGCAAAGTTAACTTTCTGTGAAAAGCAATCAATCAGAAGACTGTGTTTGTCTGCTAACAATAATCTATAATATGTACATGAAAATCTATAAATATGTGTTAATTTCCTTAATAAAGGATCTGTTGCCGGGCCCTTGTCTTCTGTTTTTACGGAAGCACTTTGGATTAATCACATGTGTCCCAAACTACTATGTGTACAAAAAAGAATATATTTCAACCTCCAGCCTACCATGAACTGACTACTTGGCCTATTTAAATATGATTGGTCATCAGCATATACTTTTGTTTTTATTTAACTGAGTAATTGTCATGCCTGTTATTTCATTATTGTTAACCATGTTAGTTGTAAAGCGGTTGTAAAGACACTACGAACTGATGCCATCATCTCGAGAAATTTGTCTTCCAAATACCTTATTCAAATTTATCAAAGGGACTATGCATAACTGAAACATTATCTATCATCCATGAACACAAAAAATCTTTAACTATGTATTCCAAAACGTACAATTGTTCAATTCCTTTTCTTACCCCTGATTGCAGTAGGCAATGTTTTTCTTTTATTCATTTCATTCCACTTCATCACTTTATTAGCATAATCATCATAATTTAGAGATTATTTGTTTTTTGTGATATCCTGTGACTCACTTTAAACTACTTAATCATTCATTATTCATTTATTTTATACAATTTCGTATAGTTTAATTACTTCAACTGTAAAACCCCACCCCACCCCTTAAATACGGCGTCTTAACATTACTGACACTACAGGAGGGAGGAAAGGGCTGTCAGCTTCACGCAACTAAAACTCCACTCGTTTCCGGACTTACTACTGTCTGTCTGTTTTCGACATAGAACTTTGCACCGATGTGCAGCATTTCAAGTCACCACACTCCACTTCATGTAGCACACAAAGCAAGAGAACAAAGTAGAAGAAATGCATGATAGAGACAGTGAACAGAGGTGTGAGGCAAAGGAATAGTAATAACGGAGAATAATATAGTTTCATTGGAAATCATAAGTCACAAGGAGTGGATGCATCCGCACCAGCCATTGAGAACGATCACTTTGAGCCATATCACCAATTGTTTCCAGCAGCTATTGGTTTTTACCGTCCCGAGGACCCCAACCAGTCAGGAAGTCTACACCTTTCTACGTGGATGGCTTAAACTAACTGTTGTGGATCTCATTGACTGACGAAGCCATGTTTTGGTTTGACCACCGCTAGCTCTTTTCCAGACTGACCCTATGTCAGCTAACATTGCCTGTCGAGGAGAGCGATGACTACGCAGGAATGCATAACACATGTCCTAACCATCTCAGTCGATGTAATTTCACAGCCTCGTCGATTGATTTCCCCTCCTTACCTAGCACTCGACCGATGCCTAACCTCAATATTGCTCACCTTATTATACCACGTTCACACGTGAGATATAACACAGGCACCTATGATCAAAGACAGCTAATCTTTTCATGTCTTCTGCTCTCAATGGCGAGGTCTCAAAACCGTAAAGGAGAACAGAGCGCACTGATGATTAGTAAACCCGCCCTTTGATCGATAGCCGGATATCACATCCACTAAGCCAAAGACGGCGTAAACTGGCATATGCGAAACTAGCCCTCTGTATCCGTACTGAGATTTCGTCAGAGATCAACCCATTGGGGCTGATGGTACTTCTCAAATAAGTGAAGCGGCCGACGTGCTCTACCACTTCAGTCCCTATTTCTAAACTAGAAGTCAGTGTAGTCCAGTCCTGTAACATCATCTTACATTTGGCGGGAGTGAATCGCATGCCAAACATTCGTAGACTGCAGCTCAAGGTGTTACAGAAGACTCTGCTACTACTACTGGCTAAAAAACTAGAAGACGTTTAAAAGTGTGTCGGAGGGGGTGGAACAGACTTCGAATCAACTTGTGTGGCCGAAGACCACTTTACCATTGAGCAGTTATAATGTGAATGGCTTTTTATTTAATTGGAATACAAGTGTACAGATAGAAATTGAAATCGTTGGAAAGAAATGGTTTTTTCGCTAAGAAAAAGCAAAACTGACTTTCCTACATCCTTCTAGTTATGTTTGGTATAGATAATGAGTTAAAAAAAGAATAATCAAATGACAACTAACAGTCACAACAACAAAAAGGTTATGCCGATTATTGGGAGTGATTTCGATTAACTTTTAATTTTCTAGTGAGATACTTTGGTGATCCGAAGGCAGAATGCCCCCCCCCATCTGCTCCTCAGGTGGTCCAGGTTCGATTTCCGATTGATGCACTTTAAAAAAAGTCACCAAACAGTAAGTCCAGAAAACAGGGAAGATTGGATGTGAGAAAATATCGCTATTTTAACTGTAACAGTTATGAAAGACAGTAAATTATTTGATGTAATAGTGAATATAAGTTGTATCTAATCCTACGCCAAATCCTCCGCTACAGCTATTTGTAAAACAAAAATGCTGAGAACAAAAGACACCATGAAATCCAGTCAGAAAAAGTAGACAGATAGTGAAATGATTAATCTTCTTATGATAAATTACAATCTATGACAGAGTGACTACAACACTAAGTTTCCAGCCAATGGGTGTGGAAGTTAAGAGTCCTACCCTACTACCTAGGTTAATCTTCATAACTGCGTAGTGTTAGAAACCGTCACGCGATATATGTAACTCTTAGTTTGATGGATAAAAGATATGTTCAGGAATAGAGATAACGATGAGAAGTAATTGATCGACACCCATACAACATATATAAATATATTTAATTGAATTTTAGATTTCCCCGTCGATTGATTGGACGGAAGTGCCCGGTCTCAGATTGACATGTCGACTTCTTGTGCAGATGCTTCGACGATGTTTGGCATTTAATTAGAATTCAATTGGTGGATGGTGACTAGCAGTGGAATCCAGCATTCACATATCGTCCTATTTGGGACTCGTCATCTGGATGTACCTGCACTTCTCAGTGAGTGATGATGTTTCCACCGAGGCCAGTAGACAACGCTTTGGCGTTTGAAACTATGGGCACTGGGTTCGAGCCTCGGTGGGAACATCATCACTCACTGGGAAACGCAGGTACATCCAGATGACGAGTCCCAAACAGCACGAAATGGGCATCCTGAATTCCACTGCTAGTCACCATCCACCAATTAAATATATAAATATAGATAAATTTTAGAAAGAAGGAACTTACAGTAGAACTCATTGAAATCCTGCATGCCCACTAATGACGATGTATTGTAGAATTGATTTTTAAGATAACCTCTCAGCATGAAACTATATAACAGCTTTGTAAGATTGATCCCAGCCAAAGCGAATGGATACCTATTTAGATTACAAACAATGCGTGAATTATGCATTGTGGTGTATCTCTCATAATTACCATTTTTTAGGATGATTTGATGCTGAAGAAATACTTCTAGCTAGCTTTGTATGCGTTTCTGCAAAGTACCTAAAGGTAAAAATATCAATACCGGGAAGAGAGTAATAATGATTGGATTGTGTTTAAAAAAAAATTAATAATACAACATAATATTGATTTGGAAAGTTTTTTCTGGTATAACACTTTCATATATATATATATATATATATATATATATATATATATGCTGGTATAATCCCTTTTGTTCTGCTTCCGTACATAAATTTAAATTGGCGTGTGGAGTTACAGTGAACATTCATGCAATAAGGTACACAAATTGGACGAACAGAAAGAAGTGATTTCGAACACATATATCTGAGGACATTCCAAGCAATTTTTCGATGAAAGGTGTAAAAGTCTTTAGAAATGAAATCACCCATCGCCTCGTAAGTAGTAGTCAGAAAGCTAAGGTTTTAAGAAAATTAAGTTAGTTGTAGTTTACTACGCACGGATAAAAGTGTAACTGTTGAACGGATGATTAGTCTTGTAGGTATTATATAGAAACTGGCACTCCAAGATGAAGAAAGATCAACCCAATCAACTGAGACTATTCCCACCTATACGATTAGCGTATAGATGAAAACCACAAAGATGAATTGATCAGCATGACTTGAATGCAAATCACAGGATTCTGTACAAACTAGTACGAAGTAAAACTAGGTTTTAAAACCGTTATTAAGACAAATCATATTTTAAATTATTTACACCAGAGAATATTATATATAACCTTACAAACGTGTTGATATTTGAGATATTCTCACAAACGACAGAAATCAGATGAAAATCATACAAATTGATACAAGGTACTGAAGTGAACCAAAATAATACTAATGAAATAGAAACAAACTGAAATGTCTAGGATAATAGGGAATAAAGGTATGTCAGTGATATATTCATGGATAGGTGGGAAAACTTAGCAACTGAAACATTCAGCCCCGTCTCCCTCCTAAATTATGGTGGAGGTATGTAGATGACACACTCACCGTACACAGAAAACAAGACATAAATAGATTTTTTGAACATATCAACTCGAAGGTAGGGGCAATTCAGTTCACTTATGAATTGAAAAGTTAGGAAAGGGAGCTTAAAATGTTAGATTATAGAGTAAAAAGGAAAGAAGGTGGGAAGTTAAACACTGGTTTACAGAAAAACCACACATTGCAACCGATATTTGGATTTCGGACTAACCCATCCTATGTTAGGATTGGTGAAATGTCTAAGTAATAGAGCACAAAAACTCAATAGTACAGAGGAAAATCTAAGGCAGGAAGTAAAGTATATGACAGAAGCTTTGAAACCTAATAATTACCCTGATAAATTAATCAGGAAAAGTGCAGGGAAATGAAAAAATAGAGTTAATAATAATGGTAATGATAGTGATAATAATGATAATAATAATAATAATAATAATAATAATTACATGCATGTCAAACATGCACAAGACAATGAAAACACGAACCATAGGGAATATAAATCATCAGTAGTATTTCCATAGAAAGAAGGAACTTCGGAAACCTAATTCAGAATTCTTAACAAGGCAGGAATAAAAGTGGTTGCCATTCAAACCCACAAACTCAATTAGAAACAAGCTTTGTCAGTTGAGGGATCCTATGGAGCCATTTAAATAAAACAATTTAGTTTATCTAACACCATGCTGCTGCAATGATTATCAGGTCAAATACATAGGTCAAACTAGTAGAAAGGGGACAGTCAGTCAGACTAGCCGAACACTAAAACCTAGCAAAATCTAGATTGGGTGACCCAAATAAGATAAGAAATCTAGAGAATAGTTCAGCCATAGCATTACATGCAATCACACACAACCATACAATAGGATGGGATAGGATGACAGTTTTAAAATCTAATGTCACAGAATGGAGGGAGAGATTGATAACAGAAGCTTTGTTTATCGAATCAACTGCAAATACATGTAACAGGAATGATTCAACACCTGTCCAGGACAACTGGAAAATTCTACTACCCCTAAGACGGATAGGAAGGAATAAAGAAAACTACAAAACGAAAGTTTTGAAGTCGTGTGATTATGACTGATATGACTATAAACAATTAATTGTGTTCGAAACGCCATTCAGTAAATAATACTGTTTCACTGTATGCTATATCTGACAAGCAAACTAATATGGAATAACAGAAGTTCGCCTAGAACCATTGATGAATCTGAAGTCATCGAAAAACTGAGACAATTTCGTTAGAAAGCTTAAAACTGCTTTAACAAGCTCTACATGTATACAGCATTTAATTATAGAGCAAGTAGTGGGTTGAAGTTCGGTCATATTTAAATGGATAAATAGTTCACAACCATCATAAAATATCAATAAAAGTCAGTGCAGAAGTCTATGTAAGTTATGTATGTTACGGAGCAAAAAGAGGTTTGGTAATATTTAATAAGCATCGGTGACATAGTGGTTAGGACGCTCGCCGACCATTCACATGGCCTAAGGTTCGATCCCCGGCCGACGCACTCCTCTACCTCGCTAAGTCAGAAATAATCCTGGTAAAGAGGAAAGGTTGGGCATGAGGCTAGCAACCCCATCCTGTAAAATAAACACTGCTACAGAAACTTTAAGCCACTAGCTTGAAGCCCTATGTTCCCCTGGGGAACGTGAAGGAAAAAAATATTTAATAAACGTATGAGGATTCAACACAAATACAACTTGACATCAGAATCCAAGCTGCAATCATAAATGTGTGCACAAACCGTTAAGGTTCCCGTAAATGACTGTAGCTAGGAGGCTAGTGTATCTACCTAATCTTAAGTGTTAAAACTTCTTTTTCAAAGGCTAACATAACAAGTACATAAATGTGTTCAATAACTTTTTAGATATTTTAATCCAATGAAATAAACTAGTAAGTGAATGGATGTAAGAACTAATTGAAAGCAAAGATATTCACATGAGTAAACCCCTTGCTTGCTCTTTTAACAGGTGAAAGCCAAGAAACAATACTTACATTACATGTAACAAAAATGATAGTACTACCGAGTATACTAATAAAACTAGAAACTAGGTTCAAGTTTATTTAACTGATTACAAGAAAGAACTATTTCATAAAAGTTATCGATGCTGCATGACAGCCAATAATATAACCAGAACAGGTTGCATAAAAAATATAACAGAATTGTTGACAGGTGTCTAACTGAATCAGTTGATGTTACGCAAAAACAGGAAATAATACTGACCACTTTCTAAAAAGTGGTAGTGTTAGTAAGTAATACAAATTTTAAAGATAGGATATATAATGGAGACTTTAGGGAGAGGAAGGGTATCAATGGATAAGTAAGATACAATTGTACAAATATATGAGTATGTATCCTTCAATTCCCAACGTACTTGTTCTATATGATCAGAGAACTGTTAGAAAATCAAACCAAAACAATAATTTTATCACTTAGAGTACGGAATGCATTTTGGGATCGACAATGTAGGGCATTAGCGTTTGCCTAGCTGAATAGAGGGCGAGCATAAATTACCGAATGTGAAAAAATGAGGTGGATAATAAACTGTGTACCATTAGCCTAACTAGTCGAATTAAGTAGTGAAGGTCAACACCCAACATTGAATGATAAAAGCTGTAGGCTAATAATGTTGACGAATTATTTACTAGCATCTTCAGGTGAAGTAGGATGTTTCTCCTATATTTTTATCAAAATAACGTGACATATAAAGCAAACTTTTAGAAATATTATGTCACTGATACCGAAAGCAACACCAAGCTGAAACGAGTGGTGTAAGATTGTTATAGCCACACTGTGGAGGTCATAGAAATTCATCTACGAATCATTTAGTGACAGTATTACTCTTACCACTCCCTGAACAAGCTTTTCTGTTTCTTCGCTTACTAATGGACGAACTCTTACAACATCCATTTGAGGAAGGGACTCCACGTATGTTCACCCAACTAAAACTGTCTGTCTGTTTTCGACATAGAACTTTGCACAAATGTGAGGAAGTTCAAGTCGCCACACTCCGTGTAGCACGCGAAGCAAGAGAAGAAAGTACAAGAAAAGCATAATAGAGACAGTGAGCAGAGGTGTGAGACAAAGGAGTAATAACGAAGAACAAAACAGTTTCTTTTCCTTCTTCCTACATGACCTACCATCTTCAAATTACATTAACTTTGTCAAATATGCTGATGACCTAACTGTATCTTTACCTGTCAAATGTCAAAGTGACTGCTCTAAACTAAATGGCTTCTTATAGGAAAACAGCTAATGGTCCAAGGAAAACGGTCTCACCTTAAACCCCTCCAAATGCCAAACGGTTAATTTCACCTTTAGGGTCAAATCTGACCTAAACAAACTGGTTAGCACTCACGAGGTGTACAACATAGGTGGCACTGAAATTGAAACCAAGTCGGAAATTAAATACCTAAGCGTCACTCTATTTTCTGATCTTTCCTGGTCGTCTCATATCTTGACGATTTCTAAGAAAATATTCCGTCTTACCTTCTACATCAAGAAGTTAAGACAGTCTGGTGTAACCCAACCCTTACTTCTACAATTTGTTAACTCCCGTATTCTGCCTATTATTCTCTATTGTTTCCCCTTAGTTTTTCCTGGGCTATTGAAGAATGACTATACTTTATTACGTAGGATGTTAAAGGTTGTCAGCAGGGTAAGCAGTTTGCCACTTAGCCAGCTTGTGAATATTCTGGTGGACAGGCACATGGACTCATGTGAAAAATTGGCGAAATCCATTTTATCTGACTCACAACACCCTCTACATTCACAACTCTCCCCATGTATCTCTTCAGGGAAAACCAGAAGCCTATATAGTGAGTACAAAAACTCATCCATACCCTACCTAGCTCGTGTTCTGTGCGATAAAGAAAGCATTAGGCGTGAAACCTTTAACTTATTAAATAGTCAGTAGAACACTGGATCTCGTCTTTCCAAGTCACATCATTTACAGGTACAACGTTTTATCGCTCTACCTTTTATTTAAAAAAAAATTTTTGTTGTGTGAAATTTTGTTTCTCTCTTCCTTACAAACTCTACTTAAAACATTCTTGTTCGTTCTTTCACATTCTGTATATCTCGACCATTTTGCTATCGCTTACGCCAGTAAATATGCTAGTAGTATCTACTTTTCTAACACCTCCAAACACTAAGTTTAAAATTTTGGCTTTGCTAACGACATGCCAATATGTTGTAAACAAAACTGACTGAGATAACTTTAATCTATGTAGAACTTCATTTATTGTTAATGTACTAACTGGATGCAATATTGTAGTAAAATGCTGAGAATTCCACTCTGTATCACAAGTACTGATTTGGAATAAAGCTATTATCTTATCTTAGTTTCATTGGAGATCATAAGTCACAAGGAGTGGATGCATCTGCACCAGCCATTGAGAACGATTTTGAGCCATGACACCAATTGTTTCCAACCATAGATTTTTACCGTCCCGAGGACCCCAACCAGTCAGGAAGTCTACACCTTCCTACGTGGCTTAGACCAACTGTTGTGGATTTCATTGACTGATGCCAAGTTTTTGTTTGACCGCCGCTAGCTTTTTTCCAGCCTGACCCTATATCCGCTAACATTGCTCGTCGAGGGAGGCGATGACTTGGCATACGTAACACATGTCCTAACCATCTCAGTCTTTGTAACTTCACGACTTCGTCGATTGATTTCCCTTGTTTACCTAGAACTCGACGTCTAACTTCAACGTTGCTCACCTTATTATGCCACTTCACACGGGAAATAGAGCGCAGGCACCTATGATCAAAGACAGCTAATCTTTTCATTTCTTCCACTCTCAGTGGCCAGGTCTCACAACCATAAAGGAGGACGGAGCGGACTGATGAGCAGTACACCCACCCTTTGGTCGATAGTCGAACATCTCGTTGCGCAGGCTAGAGTAGAATTTGAATTCAAGACCTATTTGATGCTGGCTGTGGTTAAGCGAGTGGGTTGCATCTGCATATGGTCAGCTTATTTAGCGTATCATCGATGTTCCGAATGAAAAAAATCTATTTTTAAACTTTGCTAACTCAAATACCTCCTACAGTATATATTTACTCTGAGTAAGAGCCCCAGAATACTTTATTATGGCAGCTAAGTGTCACAGCAAACATGCTATTATATACTAATTAACTCTGAAATAAATTCTACGAGTACTGAGATGTAAGAGATTCTGTCCTTAAAGGAAGTTATCAGATTAACTGATTCTTATAGACAGTTTTAGTCTAGTGGACACACAACGTCAATATTCCCCTAACACGAATGTATAATTGCAGAACCCAAGGAAGGGATTATCCCAAAGAATATTCTTTGCTTATTAATTTGTTATGCAGATGTTGCATTACAGGAGTGGTCTGCAGTAAGTTTAAAAACACATCTATGAAAATGCCTTACAACTAGACGAACTCCGTTACAGACTGTTACCAATGTAGAACAATGATATTGGTTCATTATCAACTGAACTGATAAAAAACCCTCGTGTCATGCACGATCTCTTAGTATTTAATTATAAATCAAGCGTTCGATTAAGGTGACTTAGAACTGTTCACTGGTCAAATAGTATTCCAAGTACTATTCTCACGGTAGTGGGGAACATTATGTGATACGTTATGAGAGGGTTTCAAAGCACGAAATTGAAGACTGATTTCACAAATAAAGTGGTTTTATAATATCACAGCCAGTACAAAACAATAATTAAAGACAGAAGAGAAAAACTATTATATACCCCGATCATTCCAACATGGATTCATGGTATAAAAGGATACGACTTACACAAGATTTTCCAGAGAAAGCAGACCCATCCCGCGAAAATCAGTGCCAGGATTTTCTGTTTGAAATCCAAGAAGTACCCACTGTTTATGGGATGTTTCATGGTCGCTCGGACACAAGAAACCCCACAACTAAAGTATTACAAGTTAACCATTTAAAAATATACCCTTGATAGCAGTTCAGCGTGGTATTTATCTTCCCAATTAAACTCAGTAGATCTTAAGACCTCGAGTTTACTTGTTAATTCACGATAAGAATTAATTTGATTTATACAGTAAGCATAGTCGATTGGAAAACTGTTGTAAGTTTCAGTATGTTACCATACTTGGGGTGCTGATTAAGGTTTATCCCTTTAACCTTCATAACAAGCCTCACGTAAGTTTCAGCGTCGGCACTTTTATCCAAGAAGAGTCCTTTCCTAACACAATTATTTTTCGAATTCCTGAGGGAATTTTCTGCAGGTACACTGTAGATTAGCACATAAGATAAGCCAACCTATTCCAAGTGTTCTCGATGCTCCTTTAGGGTAGTTGGCCACTATACGGCTGATTTCACATTTTCCTGTGATTTTCCGAACAACGAACTTGAATAAAGGTCGAACGTAGGAGAAGACCACGTGGAATAAGTATGATAACATTTGCATAAAAAACCTCATCTCGGAAATATCGACCTTACTCAGTGACCTTGCGACAAATTTTTGATGAGAAATTGGCTACTATAAAACAAAAAGACGTCCAATAAATTTCTGAAAAACATGCTGCTTTAAACCTATCGCAGTTTTTATCGACATGTGCTCCGAATAAAAAAGGCCAGTAGATCAATGTCCTTTGGGCCCACAGCCAGGGCAAGACAAAGAGAAGAGGTAAGTTGTGTTAAATTTGTGAAACAAATTGATGCATGAAATGTGATGATATTAATAAGCACTCCAGCTTAGTTTTTGGTCATTTAAGAAAAACCTGGTTCTTTCCGAGCTGATAGGTTCGTTCTTGTCTCTTCGTTGTCCAAGGTTAGTTAGCGTTCCTCATGGAACGGCATTAGCCAACGTCGAAATTCCCCAGTAATTTAATTTTTTAATTTTTTTTTGATTACAGCTTGATTCCACACGGTATTTTTTTTATTACAAGTGTGGAATTTTCAGCGTGGATATCGGTAGCCCAAAATTCGCAGGCCGACCTTAAATATCAGGTGTGCGTCGGCGTGGGCTCGAACCCCAGACCATGTGCATGGTCGGCGAGAATCCTAACAACTGTGCCACCGACGCACGTGGGAAGTAAACTAAGCGAATATCTGTCTGGAATTCAAGTTACTTTCTTCCTTCCAGTTGTCGGTTTCTCATTATAAACTAAGTAGCTCTTATTAATCACCCGATTCATTACTGGATCATCACTTAAATGTAGGATCCTAAAGCTCATCAGTTCATCATTCTATCGCTTGTGTGGTAATTCACAGTCTCTTCCTGCACATCTATTCAGACAGATATGTCAGAAGTGTCGGTTCTAAACTTCTTATGTAGCCTCCATACATATTTTTGAAACTAACTTTCGCAAAAGGCAGGTTAAAATTAGTTCATATTAGCCTACACTATGCCACTTTAACGGTTAAGACTTGTATTCACGCTTCACCTTCATTATTTATGGTTCTGAATATATAAGTCAGTTACGTTTCATGAATTCACCGAAACCGTTGTCATCATTGTAGAAGTTGGAATTCAGATCACGTGCTCGAGTATTTGGCATAGTGATATTCTTTATGGAGAACGCAGATCACAGAACTTCACGAAAAATTTCCTGTTCCCAATGTACGCTACTGCATGGCAAACAGTACATTTCTGGTCTCAAATGTTCCACTGATGAACCTATGCAAATAATATATTGGTGAAATCTTCCACAGTTACGTGGACAAATGGAGAAACAGATTGGACTGAAGGGAAGAGAATTGAAGGTAACTGGGAACCAGTAACAGGAGTCATTTGAAGTGGTCAGCCCATTTTTTCATATGTTCCTCCTCCCTGGTAACTGGGTCGCATTTAACATCTGTAGCTGTCACATGCGTTGATTTGTCCCAGGATAGAGACCTGGTCTTCTGATACAATACTCTGATGTCTTTTTTCGCCTGCGCCATGCCTGCTCTGCTTCAGCTGCCGGCCAGTGTATGATAAAATTGTCTTTTTTCTTTTCTAGCACCCATCTTCACCTCTTTATTCAGAGCAGTGTGCATTGAACTCAGCTTCTTCTTCTGTTGTGCATCTTCGCATTCGGGCACCTTCTCTTTCACCATCCTCCCCTCTTCCAACAGCTTCCATACATCTGTTGAAAGCCATTCCTTAACGTCCCTTCTTTCTTCTTAGAACAGTTGTTCACGTTTCCTTGAATCTTACCTTCAGAAAGTTACATTGATTTTCCGCACAGTTTTCCTCAGTGATACTACATGGTGTCTCTGACTCTGCTCTCATATCTGTAGTGAAGACATCCACTGTGGTTTTGTCCTTCAGTTTTTGTGGGCTGAACTAGAATTGTGAACCGTCTCCATTAATTTTCAGGGATTTCAGCTTCACCTCGAAGGTTCTTGGAACTAGATGATGGTCTGAGCCCGAATCTGCTCCCCTGCCCAACTTTGTGTCTGGCAGACTGACAGGATCCCACGCACTTTCTGATCAATTATTTCAACGGCTGTTAATCTCGCATAAATGGTATATTATCATTTCCCACGCACTTTGTTTTTGACTATTACGATCAATCATTTCAAATGCTGTTAGCTGTTTATATTGTTGTAAAAATGTATAAATACCATGAGTTTCTTTGTCGTTGTTGTTGTACTACGATACACAGTCACAGGCCAGCCTTTGTTTTTTGATATTTGCGTGGTTCACTGAATCGGAAGATACCACAAGCAGATAGGCATATTAGTCAGGCACAGACAGAACAAAGCGACAACGTCCTCATTTAATTCCCTACAGTTATAACAAATTGGTAATGGGGTTTACCTTAATTCATTGCAGTTGTAACAAGCAAGCGATGACGTGTTTTATTCTGTTCAGCGCAGCTATAGAACATTTTTGACTGTGTTAATTACAACCCAATTACAATGTCTATCTCTCTGGACGATCTCAAATCTATCTTGCAGCAGCAGCAAGTTCAGAATGAAGCAGCTCAACTAAAATTAATCGAAGCTCTCACTCAGAAGCTGTCCATTCAAGTTCCATCAACATCTCATTCAGACAAATATGAAAGCATCTCAAATTCCATCAGTGAGTTCAACTACGACCCAATATCTGGTCTCGTATTTGATGCATGGTTCAATCGTTACGAAGACGTTTTCCGTATTGAATGCTACATGTTTGATGATGCTGCCAAAGTCCGATTGTTACTAAGAAAACTTGGTACTGTTGAGCACAACAGATATGTTAACTTCATTCTGCCTAAGAACCCACGTGAGTTATCATTCGATGAGACAGTCACCGTTTTATCACAAATCTTTGGTGAACAGTCATCCATGTTTAATATTCGGTATCAATGTTTTCAGTTGACAAAAATGCCTTCCGATGATTATGTCACTTACGCTGGCAAAGTGAACAAGGAATGCGAAAGGTTCAAACCACACGAAATGACATCAGATCAGTTCAAGTGTTTGATTTTTATTTGTGGGTTGAAGAACCCAGAAGATACTGACATAAGAACTCGACTTCTGTCACTCGTGGAACAAGACCCGAAAATGACTTTACAAATGGTGACAGCAGAATGCCAACGCTTAATCAACTTGAAGCACGATACTGCTATGGTGGAGTGCAAACGACAGTCGTCTGAATTTGGTTCAATTAACACAGTGAAAAGTCCTCCGATCACCGTTAAGCACACAGAACGTCAGTCTCAAAATTCAGCTAAACCTCCTTCAGTGTGCTGGCACTGTGGTTCGTGGCATTTTGTCAAGTTCTGTCCTTTCAAGAAACATAAATGCCGTAATTGTCACCGTTTTGGACATAAAAAGGGTTACTGTCCACCGCAGAAAAATTCTTCGGTGAGGAACAGAAGTAGTCGTTTCAAGCCGAAACAATCTCCTCGAGTACAGACCATTTTCACAACTTCCAAAGTCGATTTCGCCAGCAAACGTAAGTACATTACACTAGGTATTAACGGCAAACATATTCGTCTTCAGTTGGATACGGCATCAGATATCACCTTAATTTCCCGAACTACGTGGCGCAAACTTGGGTGCCCACAGATTCTGCCGACCGAGCATGTCGCTAAGAATGCCTCTGGAGATATACTGAAACTCGTGGGTGAGATAAATTGCCAGGTTCAGTTTGGTGAGCATCACTTCAATGGTGTATGTTACTTCACAAACTACCATGATTTGAATTTGCTTGGTCTTGACTGGTTAGACAAGCTCCATATCTTCAATGTACCATTAAATTCAGTATGCTCTAATGTTTCGTCCTCACCACATAACGTTGTTCCCGGACATGTATCTGATCAGTCTCTCTTGCAACGCCTGCGTCAAAAGCACGCTTCTGTCTTCCAGGACAAACTTGGTTGCTGCAAATTTACCCAAGTTGTTTTGTCTCTAAAGCCAAACGCGAAGCCAGTTTTTCGTCCAAAACGTCCAGTTCCGTATGCTGCTGTCACATTGGTTGAGAATGAACTCGACAGACTGGAAGCATTGGGTGTCATCAAACCAGTAACGTATTCGCCCTGGGCTGCCCCTATAGTTGTTGTACGCAAAGCAAATGGTTCCATTCGCCTGTGTGCAGATTTCTCAACTGGGTTAAATGATGCTCTAGAGGATCATGCTTATCCATTACCAATTCAAGAAGACTTATTCGTCAAACTTAATGGTGGTAAATGTTTTGCAAAAATTGACCTTGCTGATGCTTACCTTCAAATAGAAGTTGAACCAAAGTCTCGAGAGTTGCTAACAATCAACACTCATAGGGTTCTCTACCAGTTTACTCGCTTACCATTTGGTGTGAAACCAGCACCCGCAATTTTTCAGCAGATCATGGATACTATGCTTGCTAACCAACCTGGTGTTGCTGTCTACCTCGACGATGTGATAATCACAGGGAGTAGTAAGTCTGAATTGTTTGATCGACTTGACGCTGTGCTATCCAAAATGTCAGAGTTTGGGTTCTACCTTAAAGAGGATAAATGTACATTTTTCATGGATTCAGTAAAGTATCTTGGGTTCATTTTTGATAAACATGGACGTCGACCAGACCCAGAAAATGTACGTGCTATTCAGAATATGCCCGCTCCCACTAATGTTGCCACTCTGCGATCTTTCCTTGGCCTCATCAGCTATTACAGTGCATTTCTACCAGAGCTTCATCGCATACGTGCTCCACTGAATCGCCTGTTATCGAAAAATGCAAAATGGAATTGGTCACCTGAATGTCAAAATGCATTTAAAAAAGTAAAATCGTTACTCCAGTCAGACATGCTGCTTACTTATTATGATCCAAGTCTTGAAATCATCCTTGCTGCAGATGCATCCGACTATGGTATTGGTGCTGTTATATCTCATCGTTTTCCTGACGGAAGGGAGAAAGCTATTGCACATGCATCTAGAACACTGAATACAACCGAACGCAAATATAGCCAAATTGAGAAAGAAGGTTTGGCGCTTATCTTCGCAGTCAAAAAGTTTCACAAAATGCTT